TCCTACTATGTATAATTCGCTAAGTATGTCTGTGTGTGTAGTTCAGTCAACTTACAATGGTTGTTGCATGACGAAGCGAGTCAGTTCGACAACGGGAGGTTCCTTTCCGTTTGGTTCAGAAGAGTGCTGAAAGCAACATCCAATCAGTAAAGGACCATTACAATTTGCAGATTTGCAGTAAATTTCAAAAAAAGGAGCCTCACTGAGCGAGCAGTACAATTTAGGTAAACAGCAGTTGACAATCTTAGGTCATATTTTCAGCTGTGACCGAAAAGGCTGTGACCTGTAAAAATGAGTGTCGACAGCCACTTGTACCGTTTATTGATACCTCAAACTTGGGTAATTGAACATTTTATAGTACATTTTTAAAAGGTTAAATATGCAAAAATACGAAAGAAATAACCATAAGATGGAAATTTGAGAAAGTTAGATAAAAAGGATTAAAATGACAGAGATAATATGTTAAATATGAGCCTAAGCTAATAGAAAACCATTATAGAAAAAAGACCATCATAAAAAATGCGCTCGATCCTTTGAATCCTTCGAAGTTGTCGACTGACCACCCTGCCAGCTTTTATGCTATCTTTTTGTGTTGATTTTCGCCCGAACATCAACATTTTAAGAGATATGGATGCGAAAATCAACATTATGCTGCTGATTAGAGCGGATGTTTATATAAAAGAAAACATGTTTCTGAGAAAAACATGGGTGGTGTTATCAGATTAAAAGGAATTTGAGCTATGAGAACAACAGAGAAATGAGCTATCAATCTACAGTACATAGAAAGTAAAGCTACTTAATCTTTTTTCCCATTCTAATCACATTTGTGATAACTTAGGTTTGTTCTGGATTGATACCCACGCCACATTGTTGGGCCTGTGCTTAAAAGAGGATTCCACGATATGGTTGGAAGTAAAAGAAGTGGAATATATCCAGTCAAAGGTAGGCGAGCGCCCCAAAGAGTGCGAGACGATGCGCGTTTTGCAGCGAAGTGCGCCCCTCTGCAGCCAGGGTCAACCTGTGCGTTGCGCAAATTCCAAAATTTTTACGACCCCCTTCCTTTTCGGAGGGTATCGGTACGACCCCCCCCATATTAACTATTATGTCTTTCACATAATTTAATGCTCATCATGTGGGCAGTCACCAACATGGAGAAGTGGTGGACCGTGGTCAATCCGCGCGCTCTGTCTCGCTCAGAGGAGGGAAATCGAGGCAACATGAAGTTTTATTCATTAAATAGAAGGAATTTTCAAATTTTTGCGTAAACCAATACATGGTAATAGTCACAAAGATTTCTACTTTCAGAAAGCTACCAAGCCTTTTTCGATCTCTCAATTTATCCTTATTTTATAATCTGAAACTAACTGTAGCATTACGTTTATAATACAAACCCCTCAATTCAGAAGGTCCTATTTCTGTTTGAAAGCAGTCTCATGAGATGGGATGCAAAAATTCAAAAAGAAATTGTTTTCTTTCTAAAAGTATTTGAAATGTTGCAAATGTTCATTCTTCAAAAAATCGTCCCGTTGTTCCGTTTTTGTGCACACGCGAGTTTTCGACATTCAAACATTCATAACTTTCTTCATAATCAACTTTTTGCAGATGTCTAAGGCTAATTAGAAACTAGAAGATTAGAGCTTTCGAATAAGTGCTAAAACTTTTTTGAAATAATCACTCTTTCAAAAAAATAGTCCCGTTGTTCCGTTTTTTCCCTTGATTTTTTCAAGCCATTTTCCTGAAACGCGACTTTGCAATCTTCAAACGTCCATAATTTCCTTCAAAATTCATATAATGAGAAGCGGTAAAAAGTATTGAAGTCTACATGAAGAGTGCTTTACAACGTATGCAAATTTTCCTAAAAGCTTTCTTCTGCCAGAATTTCTGAGGAGGTCCCTAGAAGTCAATTCAGCAAGTTCTAACTTTCTTCCACTTAGATTTGTTCTGAAGACATCAAGATTCTTTTGAGGAAGTTTGTCTGCTTACGGCCGCTGACAGATAAAGCGTTTTGAAGTGAAAACTCCTGCTCGGGGTACGCCGTGCACCTGTCTGTGGAGCAGTCGCACTCGCATTTGAAAGTCCTCCACTTCCTGGAGACGGTGATAGTATCGCGATTGTAGTTGCGTTGTACTGTTACATGGAATCCTATTTTCTCAATGCATTTCACCGCGGGTCCCTGTGTATACGACCCCTCCCCTTTCGTTCGGCCAAATACCACTCCTCGTTATTCTTTGCGCAACGGGCGGTTGACCCTACCTGCAGCCCACAGGGCCATGCCCACGCCGCTCACGCCGCGACAAGCTCACTCTGCCGTCGTCTGACTCTAGGGTTCAGCAGAGAGAGCATTAGCGTTGAAGAGGACGGTATCGCAGAAAGTAGCGTCAATGCGAAAATCAACAGAATAAAGGAGGTTTCATTTCTTGGGGTATGAGCCGTTCTTCATGGTTCTTTCAGTTCCTGCACCCGGATCCACCTTAATTTCTGTTGGGCTACTTTTCATTAGAAACTCCGCCTTTGACAAGGGCTAGGCTATGGTTTCTCTTACAATTAGATGCACTTGTGCGAAGCGCCTTGAGATTATTTCTTGACGCCGCTTCACTAGAGCTTCCTCTGCACACACGTCCATCAAGCAACAATGGGGGTCATAAATTTACCCTACCCGTCACATCCCCCAATCATTTAAAGCTACAGCTCATTTGCTGCTGGATTCATAGAAGCGGAACGAATCCATAGCAACAAATGAGCTGAAAACAGTCACTGAGACATGGATGAACCCAACCATGAACAATTCGAGAACCTTCCCAGTCGTCTACAGACAGAACCACTGGAATAGCGCTTCACCAGTCGAATTCCGTGAGGCATTTCCAACCGTAATGCACCTCGTCTTTTCATCTGGAAACCGCATTGCTCTGTGACCTTCCTTGCACAGCTGCAAGGCGGAGCACAAATACGCTTACAAGGTAGTTGTGTTCTAGTTGCAACCGGATTTCTCGAAACGTAAATTGTAAGGTCTTGGGTTGAGTGACGAACAGGGATTAATTGATATATGTCGCTGCAAGCTGAGTCATCAAGTTGAAGCAGGATAGAGCTGAGATGAATTCTACTGATCACTGCGTGACGACGACGAAGGCGGCCGAGAGTGGCGTATGCAGGCATGGAGAGGATCGATCGACTCCAGTAAACGGCTTGCTCCAGAGTCAACCCTGCGTTGCGCAGTTCTCAACGGCCACGTTGCGCAGTTTCGCCCGATTAGACACGTTCTCTCGCGCGAACATTCACACTCGCATGCTCGAGCCGTCTGCGTCTCCGCCCATACAGCGTGCGTTGAGGATCTCTCAACGTGCCGTTGCGAACTGCGCAACGCAGGGTTGACTCTGCCATCCCCCTCCCCCCCCTTTCACCGCCTTCCAGCTCGACCTGTCCCTTACTGCATTCTCGTCGTGATCGTATTCGCTCTACGAGAGAATTAGCTGCTACTATTCGTGGGTTTGTAAAAATAAGAGATGGGGAAGCCTGCCGACACTAAAATAATGCGACCATGACGACACCTTGTAATATCTTAAAAAACAATCGTCACCAACTCGAATTGAATATAACTGTTGATGGGCAGGATAACTGCCTTAGAATGACCCTGCAGAGCAGGTGAATAACGGTCGAGGAAATCCTCGACCATAGCTCTCTACCATGCGAGAGTAGTGCCGAGAGTGAACATCCGCGCGGAGAGCACAGACGGCACGGCATGGCGAGTGTGAATGTCCGCGCGAGAGATCGTCTCTGATCGGGCAGAGAATCCTCGACGTGCCGTTGAGGAATCCTCAAGCGATATTCACCCTGGCTGCAGAGGACGGAGCACTGCCCGCCATGATCCTTCAGATTTTCTTCTGCTTTCGGGAGAGGAGCGGATGCCGCGATTCATCCGGAGGCTTTGTTTCCCGTGTTTTAAGTTTACAATCCATCTGGCAACACCTAAAAACCAGCTTCAATCAAATTGGGTGAATTTGATGGCAAGCCGTTGTCCATCATGAAGCAGTGGAGAAAGGACTCTGAGCTGGCCAACTTGCTATCACAAAACTCAATCCCCGGCAGGGCAAAGCTTCTTGCTAGGGAATTTAGTCGCTCCCGAAAGTCCATATGACATCTTTTTCGGAAAATCTATCCTGACTAGCCCTTTGCTTAGGTTTTTACTCCCACGTCTATGAAACCAACACAGAAGGGGAAATGGCAGTTACCAGGTTCAATTCACCACCAAGCTAGGGCGCTGAATGCGACTCGAGTTATTCCTGTTCTGCTAGTTATTTCGGAGCTCCTAATAAACACATGAGAATCCTGTTGACTGGAAAAAATGAAGAAACGATATCGTATCGCGGGCGAGCAGAAACTATAAACTATTCTGGGTATAGAGGGATCGAAGTGGGAAGGTGGCGGAGCCTCTGCACCGGTGAACCACGCACCTCTACCCACGAGAGACTATTCAGTGAGGCTGATTGTGAGACTGGACCATGAGTTCAGGCTCACCTTGTTCCGCCATAAGGCATATGCTACAATTGCGTTGTGAATCTTCTGATCTCGTAGTGACGCTTCGGCCGCCACGACATCGCTATTCGTGTCCACTGCACCAGCTGATCGCATCGCCTCATAGGGTTGTCGCGTCCAGAAATGTCCTGAAAAAATCAGTATTTCTCCGCAATATTTCCACATAAAATAAATGCAACAGCGCCAAAAATGTCAGATTAACTCGGTCATCCCCAACTTTCCAAAACAAGCGTTTCCTCGAACTTTTGCTATTCTAAGCCCTTTAGCGGAAACGGAACCTATGGAACATGTCAGGATTTGATTACTTCAGGACAGCGAACGTTGAAATTTGCTTCCGCTACGTACTTCCACCGCGAACATAGACGCGGTCAAAAAAGCTGAAAACGGCGTGGTCTAGTGGTCGCATTCGCAACTTAACAACGGAAGAAGAAGCGCTGAAAAGTCTAATCTCCTTTCACGTGGGCATACCACAAGACGTCTTTTAACCCATTCACAACAACCGAAACATTCCAGCCATTGGAACCCTCAAAATATGGCAAATTTTGCCCATTTTGAAGGGCCTAATTTTGTTGAACTAGTGATGAAGCGGAGAAGCAATACAGGGGCGATCTACACCATCGAAATCCAGGGTTCCGTTGAGTGTTGGCCAAGAAATCTAGGTTACGGCAAAATGTAGATCTCCTGATCGGGAGAACTAGTGCGAAGCTCTGTTGCTGCAAAGCCTTCACCACTCCGTACTGGTACAAGCACAGCGAAAGCCATTAAGAAGTCTCTGGAGCCATGTTATTTTGAGTGAGGACAATTGGGTCTACCCGTATCTTGGAGCGAATCAATCTGCATCAGACTTTATATAGCAGGGTGGAATTCCTGAATGCAAACAGGAATTCTACCCTTCTTATAAAGTCTGCGCTCAGAGGTCATGGAATAGTCCATGAAGTCGAGTGCCTCTACATTTTGAAGTGATAGCGGTCGTATAAAGCACCCCAAAGAAGCTGGTAAACGTAGAGCAACAACCCCAGATGAGGTCATGCCAAACACCCTATTCTGTGGGTAGAATGGAGTAGCCCACGAGTATCGCAACTGCGTCGCTGTCACCAGGGTCAACCGTTACGTTGGACCGATATTGGAGCGACGTTGGACCGATGTTCACCGCTCTCCGCGCCGGCATTCACTCTCGCCACCCGCGAGCCGTCTGTGTCTCCGTGCGTACGTTCACTCTCGGCATTACTCTCGTCGTCGCGTTGGACTTTGTCCAACGGACGGTTGACCCTGTCGGGATGGGCGCGACCATGGCGCTAGAGCCTTACAAAGTGAGCTAGTGATGGCTAATTGAGCTAATGGACGAGATTCCTCGCGCACACCCCATGACACGCAACGTGGATTACATAGGGCTAATTCAAATACGCACGGTTAGTGGAGCCATGGAGCGAGCAAGTGACAACTCGTCCGGACACGCCCCTTTCCCGAGGATTCCCCTCGGAGGGTAAGGGAGGAGATAGATCCTCGTTTGAGGGTCTCATCGGCGGCTTGCTTTGCTTCTTTTTTCATGCTTAGGTAATCGACATCAACAATTTATTATCGACCGCTGCTACCCCATTCGATCCGGGGTTTTGCTTCGAGTACAATCAGATCTTTAGAAAATATGTATCTCTAGCTCTAATGTAACAACTGCCCAACAAAACTACCTTATTTTCAACCATGGATGCAGAAGCGATTCAGCTCAAGAGAAGACACACTCGCGAATACTTACCCAAATCCACTCTCTGCAGAATATGAACGCCTTTCGGAGCGTTCCGATTGGCGGCACATGTGAATGAGAAGCATTATGCCGGATCTCCACCAACCAACTGGGAATTCCAAGCTGAAACAGTCAAATCTACAGCATCTCAAAAGTCGCTCACTGTAGATAGAAACATATGAGTCCCTTAAAAGCAGCGATTACAATAATTTGAAGTTGATAAAATAATAAAACAGACGTGCCAAATGTTGCGACATGAGTCAAAGGATTGACCTAATTGAAGCCGTGGGGAAACAATCGCAGACAACTCGTCCAGACACGCCTCTCCCTTGTTTCAAGGGGACGAACGGGAGTCCCGAAAAATTGAGACTCTCACTCTGTCCACTAACTCTGGACAACTTCACGGCTCACATGTTGGCGGTGTAGGTGGTTCCTCTAACTGGACCATAAGAGACGACATCATTACAGGATAGAGCCATTTTGTAAAAAATAAGCCTCCGAAATGAAAAGCGACCCTGTGAATGATATCGCAAAATCCCACGAGGCAGGGCAGTTGTGGGGCGTTGAAGTTCC